CCCCAAAACCCCAAAACCCCAAAACCCCAAAACCCCGAGATCCGCAAAATATGTTGAAAAGATCTTATGAGCGATATTAAGCAAATAGAGGAATTTTGCCGTATATAGGCCAGTTTTTAGGGTCGAAGATCTTTTGGTTTGTGCTGATAGAGGATATTTTCCTCATCTCTTGTGCAGAGAGGGTGATTGAGCATGCTTCAAGGTTCTCTTGTGCTCTATTTAGATTATTTGTCTTTGGGATCACTACATTTCCTAGCTGGAGATTCCACGCTAAGGCTATTTGGGCAACTGTTTTACCATGAGTTGCAGCAATTTCTTCAAGTAAAGGATCCTTAAGAGCATTTGAGCATTTTCCACCAACTGGCCTTGCAGGACAGCTCAAAGGAGAATAAGCAATCACTGTAATATCATACTTATCACAGAACTTAACTAAATCCTGCTGTTGATAATATGGATGCACTTCAACCTGGTTACAAGCTGGAGGTATATCCGCATAAGTCAGCATATCAATCATCATCTGTACTCCAAAATTTGACACTCCAATAGACTTCGTAAGTCCCAGCCTCACTCACTCCTCCATCCCTTGCCATACCTGATACATAGGAGCCCTCTTAAAAGTCTTTTTGTCCTTCTCAAAATCAGGCATCGGCCAATGGACCATGAACAGGTCCAAATAGTCAAGCCTGAGTGCCTTCAAAGTCTTCTGGCATGCCTTCACTGGGTCCTCGTAATAAGCCCTATACATTTTGCTAGAGACATGAATATCTTCTCTTTTAACACCATGTTCAACGGCTTGATTAACTCCTTCACCGATCAACTGCTCATTTCCAAGAGCTTGAGCAGCATCAATATGCCTGTAACCTATCTTCACAATCGAGTCAGATATAAGATTGTGATCTTTAGCTCCAAATACTCCTAAACCTATGGAAGGAATTTTTAGGCCATTATCTTATCGTTTGGAATACTCGGAAGATTTCTGAGTGAAGTTAATACCTTTGGGAACAGTGTCAAAGAACTAATAGCCTCTGCCCCTGAAGCCATTCAGGATGATTTACAGTTCATGAAGTTTTATCAAGGAGAAATTAATATGTATAGCAACCTAACAAATGAGGAAGTTAACTATCTTCAGAAGCACAGTGAGTTACTTGTATCAGGAGCTGAAAAAATTATTAACACAAAGGTCAATTTCTTCGCACCAGTTTCTGCATGAGGGTTAGCCTTTCATTTCAGCTACTTCAACATGAGAGGTTGGAAAGCTCTTCCAATAATAACTTTCAGTATATGGTTCTTGTGGATAGTATCTACTTCTTACCTACTCTTGAACAAGAAGAGCCAGCTCACTGGAGTACTTGACGAATGGAGGAGAGTCAATCAAGAGATCACTAAAATTATAGATGAGGAAAAACCAGTCATAAATTAATGGCTTCAATTTTATATATCATTACGGGGTTTTGGGGTTTTGGGGTTTTGGGGTTTTGGGG